TTTCGCCGACGTCCAATCGGCGTGCTCCACGAACTTTGGCCTCTAACTTTGTGTTCGACGAGTTTAGGGCCCCTGGTAGCTATATATAGGGGGGCGCATGCTCGTCTGCTTCTTTTGCTGGGGTTGTGGTGACGTCAGAACGCCGAGCTCTCATTGGCTCTGATTGAAGGACTGAGGTCTATCCACCATCATCAATCAGAGCCAATCAGAGTGCTTTGAGGTCTACCCACTATCCTTCGATTAGAGCCAATCACAGCTCGGCGTTCTGACGTCACCACAACCACTGCAAAAGAAGCAGACGAATTCTGGCGCTTCGCATTACTCCGCTCACGTGGTGAATACCGCGAGCATCTCATTATCGCTCGTCGGCCAATCAGGTAGCGGCATTAGCCGATTAGAACACCGAGGAACCAATCACGAAGCGAAAAGCGTGAACACGAGCCCCGCGCCTGCGTTTCTTAAAGCTGTCAGTATAGTTCCTGTAGAATACGGAGACAGCCAATAACGGCGAACAATGAAAGGATCCCAGCGAATGACGTACGTTGCTCAGGGTACGATTCGATACGAAAAGGGCCCAACATTTGTCGAATGCGTCGTGATTGGCTAGCTGTCAAATGCGCCGTGATTGGCCAACCAGATTCGCGTGACGCGTCCGCGCATGTGACGTCACGCCGGTCGTCGCCGGAAAAAAATGGGGTCAAGGCGCCAAGTGTGCGTTTTGTTGAAAAACTTAAAACAATACGTTTTCAATAAAAAAAAAGTGAGCCAACAACACTGCCAGTAGATAAATGCGTCTCCCTTTTGTTAGGCGCAAGGTCTATAAAATATAGAAAGTATCAAAGGTTATTGGAAAGAGAACAAAATGAGAAATTACTGTCGTGCAAATGTATGAGCACATAGAAATACAGAAAGTTTTGTACCTGGATAACAATTTGGGTGCACGTGAATATTTTGACGAGCGTGTTGACGTGTGCACTGCCCGTCACTGTTAACGCGAACACGACGGCGGCGCTTTTCATGTTTTACACGTTTTACAGGCCATGAAAAGAACCAAATTGTACTGCTAAAGCAGCACTGCTGTTACATCATACAAAAGACAGTTTGCGGTCACTTTCTGAGACGTGTTTCTTCCCTTTATGTATAAGCATGCATGTGGAGGAACGAAGTAATTGTGCTTTAAACATACTTCAGACGTGACTACGGCTTAGGTGTTGCGCTCTGAACATTGTTTAAAAAAAAATGACGGATTTCCTAAACCCTTCCTTTACAAAGAAGGGTCAGCGGAGGCATTTTTTGGAGGTCTGCGAAGCCCTTGCCCGTTATTCAAACTAAATCAATAAGACTTTGTCGTGCACAGAACACCACACTTTTGCGTGATTTTCTTTTGCATAAGAGAATTAAGCGAGTCTATTTTAACTCTAGCAGTTTTCCCATTCGCTTCAATATAGGTCGACGCATTGTTTCAGCCCTGTCCTCTAAAGATAGAAATCGACCCCATTGAGCCGTCCGAAATGCTTCCCCGCTCCAGCGGCTTCTCCGATCACGTCGGAGCAAGGCGGTGAAGCTTGACTCGCGCGCGTCGAGGCGAATAGCCGTTTTCAAAAGTCCCACAAGGCCCCTCGGCGACCCCATACTGCACCGCGCGGCTCGGGGAATCCTGGGGGGCACCATAGTTCCGATGCACGCTCGGGCCGACTCGAAACACTGCGTACATCCTGGCAGCGATGCGATGCCTTCTTTCTGACCAACACAGAGTTGAGGACACAAAGATAATCGAATAGACCAATCGCACCGAGCATTCGGCGCAGGCATGTCGCCGCCCTAACTTTGAACGATATGGATCATGCCGTGTCATGCTCTGCACGCGCAGAGCTCCAGCGAGGCCGCTGCTCGTGCAAAAAGACTAAAGTTCCCTGGATGCATCGCGGCAGTAGGGTGACCACCCGTCCCGCGAATCGCGGGACTGTCCCGCATTGAGGGCTAGTGTCCCGGGTCTCGCAAGGAATTCTCAAATCATCAAAATGTCCCGCATTTCACACAGTGGTAAAATTCACTCCGCAACTCATGGCGCTGCAGAACAACGGGGCACGGGGAAGCGCCGAGGTCGCTGGCGATCGTGTGAATCGCAATGGTACGCAATTTTCTATCCAAGCATTGCGGGAAGCGACCGTCGCTCTTGCAGGTGAACCGACGAGCATGCTCCGTTCTGTTTCTCTTATTGGTGGCAAAATATTGTAAGAAAAATTGCTCGTTAAAAGTTTAAATAAAAGATGGTGTAATTATTTCCAAATCGCTGTCTCAATGCGAAAGGGTTGTTATGGATTTTTTTCTTTGTTTGTTTAGCAAAGACAGTCACACAAGGCAAAAGCCTACAACTCACAACGGCCGAAAATGAACATAATATTAAAAAAAAAAAAAAATTTGTAGGACCCCGTCGATAAAAGTAAGCGCTGACGGGAAACAATAACCCGAGAAAGATTTACTCTTTCCTATTTCCATTTGATGCATTGAGTTCTGCTACAGACAATTTGTATGTTTTCAACTTCGACACATTTAATAACATTTTTGGCATAAAAATATATATCACTGGGAGTGAAAATTATTTGAGCTTAATTGCTACAATACATTTAGCAGGTGTATAAACAGCACAGGATTTTAAATGGGTTACCAGAGCCTCGGATCCTGTTGTGCGTGTTAATAAAGTCTTGTCGAAGGTAGGAAGCTTGCGCTAGAGGCGGGCTTCCCTACCTTCGCACCCTCCCGTTCTCACCTTGTGACTGTATAAGAAAACGATCTCCTAACACGTTCATAACCCGATATTAAAATCACATTTTAAACTTGTTTTGACAGCGTGTTATATCTTGATTTAAAATGTTTATTACACCTGGTTGTGGGTGTAATGTTCATTATTTTATTACCCACGCCATCCAGTTTGCAACTTCCGGACAATAACACTCTATGCTTCCAAGCTGCTTGCGGCTAGGGTATTCATAATAATCAGTTCGAAAGAGGCGCGTGAGCAAAGCGGCGCGTCCAATTTACCCGGAAAGCCACTTGTGGCGCCACCATGTGTTTGCTTGCGCAAACCACCTGCGATTCTTCTCGTACGCGGACCAGAAGTGTGCTAGGGCTACCCGATAGATAGCGCCTCGTTGCCGGTTTGGCGCTAGGGAGGCTCAAGTATGGTGCCTGGAACGCGTCTCCGACTGGTGTGTTTACCGCGGCCAAAAAAGTGGTCCCTTGATTCCCGCCTGATGACGCCATAAAAAAACATGCTGTCGCCGGTCGCGACCCTGGCGGCGTCCCAACAGCTGTGGTGTCTGTAGCAGATGCCTGTTCTGCTGCAGGTCGCTTTCCACTGTGACAGTTCACGGAAGCTAGAGCAGCCGGAGTTGGGACGCCTGGGATGCCTAAAGGGACGCCGTGACGACAGCGACACTCGCGTTCGCTCGTGCTTTTCGCCAGCATTTCTACGGCCAACCGCCAGGATCGCGACAGGCAACAGCATGACACTCGCGTCATTTGTTGCCACATCGGGACCACTTTTGATGTATGGGCGGGATAGGACGCTAAACACACCAGTCAAAGACGCGATCCAGGCACCATAGCTCAAGTGAGGGTGGGTGCAACTGCTAGATCGGCGATCACGCGACATGGACGCCATTTAATTGCTAAATTTTGCTGGGAGTCTATGGGGCAAAGGGTCGTTTTCTTTCCTAACTCAGGTCATAAAAGCCCATTAAGGTGCTTGAATAATTTACGCAAGGTATAAATGATTACTTTTCTATAGCCACCAGTTTTGTTGCGATAGGTTAAGTATTTTTTTAACGCGAAAAATGGTAAATTCCGCCATCTTGGACGTTGCTGCTTGTCTGGCAACCCTGCTTTCTCCGCTCGACGTTTGCAATCCTCGGAGCGAGAAGGAAGCGAGAGAGGCTGCGCCAAGGCGCTCGTTGCTTGCAATGGGAGGCGAGAGGAGGAAAGGCGCATGGAGCAACAGAGTTGCAACAGAGCAGGCGCTTGCTCTCGTGCAGGCAACACTGGCGCATATCCTTTCTCGAATCCTCTCCCTCAGGCGGCATCATTAAATTGCAAACGCTCTCCAGGTTTTGAGTTGCGCGGGCGCATGGCGTAGATCACGACAGGTGTCGACACCGACGCTTTCGCTGTAAGGTTGTGCCCGTGTGCAGCATTTGGCACGAGGATCCTAAGGGCAATGCCCCTGAATAAAAAAGGTAGAGACATCTTCTCGTTCTTTCTCTGACGCGCACACCTTTTATCTTTATGTTTTGCTTTTTTACACTCGCGCGTCGACTGTAGCGCCGCCTGGATCGGTCTAAAATAGCGGGCGCCATCCTTCAAAAGATGTCGCGACTTTTCCATATAAAGGGACTTTAGCTAAGGGTAGCTCGGGTTGTGAACTAAATCACCAAATATGAAGCGAGGTCCGCAGTGTTGCTCGGAGAGCGCTTGTTTCTTCAAAGCAGTTGTTTTGTCTGAGGAAATCCTTTTTCCATACGTCTCATGTAACCCGTTCGGCAGCAACACGCGTATCAGCTGTTCTGTCACTCCCGATAACGGTATTTTGACGCTAGCTTTGCGCGTTCACCATCCGCACAACCAGAACTCGACGACCTCCCACTAAAAGCTACAGCTGCTTTCCTATCCTGACGCAGTCAGGTACAAGGTCCATCGTAACTTCCTTTTGCTGGAGACCAATTGACACCCAAGATGCATTGTCATGAAGAATTGTAGCCCTTTCTGATTGACTTTTTGGGTACAAATGAAGGGCATAAGCTGTCTAAAGAAACCTTTTTCTGACATACTAAGCAAAGCGTGCAACAAAGAGAAAATCGGGCACCTAATTTCATGCAATAGCGAAAAAAAAAGTATAATACATTTAAATTTCCTATTAAAAACAATTAGTTTTAGTTATAAATCAAATTAAGGCCGGACCTCAAAATGGGAAAGTAGTTGGAGGATCAGCAAGGAGACTGCTATTCAAGGTTCTAAAACTTTATTCACCTGTAGAGCACACGACAGATAATATAAGAACCAGAGCACTTGACACGTTTGCACTCGGAACTACCTAGTATACAGATGCGAACTGGGGAAATCTGCTCTCTTTGCATACCAAACTCGTTGGAGCACTCACAATATATTGGCCCAGGAGCTTTATGAACCCTTTTCCTGTAAAAATCCAAGGACACTGCAGAAGTTCTGAAGCATTACACTGCATTCACAAAATGATAAAAATACTCATACAATCAATGAATATGAGATGATAGGCTCGAGGTGCTGCTTACATCGTTTGGACAAGATTTTCTCTAATCCAACAAAATTCATTGTATCTCGAATATAAAGGTATAAAGCATAAGCTGCACAAAACCACTTGAAACCAGACAGAAAAAGAGGAGTCGTGCTTAGTACTTCTGCAACAATTTTTCCAAGTTTGGTGGGGAAAATATTAAGAAAAGGAGATAGCAAAAAGGAATCCTGTTTACAAAGCACACTGCAATGCCGTCTGCAACAAAGGGAGCCCACAAACTTCCATACTGCACAATAGGAACAGGTGGCACGGTGCTTACGGCTGAAGTGTGCCATCTCATCAAGGATGAGCCAGACCACACCTTCACACCTAGTCCTTCCACGAAAGCATGTTGGGTTGGTCACCGGCATCCACGAAAACAGAAACCAAGTGACAAGGCTACAAAGAGTCACACGCACAGAGACTGCGAACAGCGGAGATACGACCCCGGAATTAATCACACCTTCGCTGCTCCAAGCATCACCTGTGTCCTGTCGGAAGCTGGGACTCCTTGTAATGTTACTGCAAAAACTGACTCTTCAAGTACCAAAGACTTCATTCGAATTCCCTGCCGAAACACCGCAACGCACGTCGTACTGGGCAGGAGGTAAGTTTCGTTTTTCTCCCTTTTCTGAAGACAACACTTTGCTTCCTTGCAAAGGGCAGCTCACACAGACAACACCAGTTTTGCGGTCCATCGTGCATTCTGTTCGTGCCGTTATATTGCCAGCCGTCAAACACTTGTTCAAGCGCTCCCCAAGTCTCAAGGATCATCGGTCTTGTTGGGTGACAGCACATTTCTGTGGGTTCACATTTTAGTTTCTCTCACATCCTACTTAGTCATGATTGATGACAGACTGCAACATGCACTATAATGAAGTATGTGCAATGCAGCAGGCAGTGTAACATGCCTCACAATGCACATTGTGATGTGCATTTCAATGCATGTTGCAAACAGACGCACTGGGTTACATGCACGGGGCACGCAATACATAGCCCAAACACGGCATAATGCCATGATATTCAGTCAAGGCGTCGCACCGTGGGACAATACTCCATTCATGTCTAAGCCGACAGTGCGGCGAAAGAAACATGCTCGTTAGGCAGGTCACACGCCTTTCTTTGACCACCGCGACCATGCTCCTACCCATATCCACATGCAGAGCGGGGCCAGGTGATGAAAGCGAGACTGTCGATTTGTCAGGCAAGCACGTAGCTTTCACTACACCATCAGGTCAAGTGTGAACGAGCGTAATAACTCCCTCGGCACATGAAACATAAAAAGAAAAAGCGCCAGCGAAAGAGTACTTTACTAAGAAACGGTGCAACGGAATGCATGCCAGACTATGAGACAAAATACAACTACTTCAAAACAGTAAAAAACAAAAGAAGCTTCTTCCCCAAGTGTCCTCCAAAGAAGATACTTGAGCTTCTTCCATGGGAACACTTGGTCAAGTTTGATGACAGATTGCAACATGCAGCGTAATGAAGAACACGCGTCGTAGTGCGCAGCGTCAAGTACACTACGACACGGTAACACACAATAGCACAAATGGGGCATAACGTGTCAGTCGAGGCATTACACCTCCAGACCAATGATTCCTGGGGCCCACGAAGCACCCAAAGAAAGTGCCACGACGGCGCGCGCCGTTCCGCAAAGAGGCGACGGTATGACAAAACGCACATCGCACCGTGCTGCGCAAATCGGACCGCCAGACCTTCCGCGCCGTGCAGGTTAGACTCCGATGGAATCCATGATGGTGTTGAGCTTCTCCGGCGGGAACTTGCGGCTCTGCAGGTGGCGCTGCAGCGTGCGCTCGGACGGCAGGGGCTGGCCCACCTCGCGGACCACGTTGTAGCCGCGCGATCCGCACGAGAGCCAGATCTTGAGGGCTTTCTCGAGGGTCTTGTCGCTCCACAGGGTCCCCTGGACGTTCTCCTTCTCCAGGCACCGGACCTGATCCTCTTCCAGGAACTCCGAGAGGCCCGAAAGGATCTTGCGCTCCCGGTCCTCCGCCTCCTGCTTCTGCCGGTGGACCAGCGACAGCGTCTGGCGCAGCGCCTCCAGCTCCGCCTCTAGGCGAGCCATCTTGGTCGCCGGCGACTCTGCAAAAGCGTCAGTCCAAAATCTTTATTCATCCGCAGACCTCCTTGCGACGTCACTGTCACACGACACGAGGTCGCATGACTGTTAGCCTTGTCATCTGACACCATCCAGCTACATAGTCTCATAGTTATAGATGAGTGTGTCGCACTCCGCGCAGACAATGGCTCCTCGACGTAAGGTGTAAGATACCTAAGTACGAGATATGTAAGGATACACCATGGCCTGATAAGGTGTCGCGGTTATCGCTCTGCCTGTACTCTGGATTCACACAAGACTGTCCTTTTCTTTTACGGCGAAGCTGTTTATGTCTAGGGTTGCGTGGATTTTTCATGTGCATCAAAAGAAACTCTTCGCTTAGAACAGTTAATGCTGCAGACTCCGGCGCCCGCACGCGCATGCCTTCCCCGTATAAAAGATTTCGAAGTAAATAACAAAATAAAGCCTTGACGAATGCGCGTGCAAGACGCCATTTGTTTTAGGCTTTTGCTTTAGAACAGTTACAGCTGCAGATGCCGGCATGTGCAACACCATTTCCTGCATTTTCCTTGATGCTTGGGTAATTTAGCAATAGGTCTATTCAGTAGATTAGTTATCAATGGGCACCATTTTCAAGACTTGCAGACTCTCGGGTAGATAATAAAGGTTTCTCCAAGATTTGCCGCTGTGTGACCCGCGTCGGCTATGTCTACGCTCGCACCGCCCCCTTTCTTGCCATTCCAAGCCCCACCTCTTGCCCCCGTGCCGTTTCTTTCCTTTCCGCTCTTTCAGCGTGGCGGTGCTGTCCCGAGTGTCTACTTTCCGCCAGGTGGCGGTCCCGTCGCGCGTGTCTACTTTCCTCCAGCTCTTCGGGGCAGCGATAGTCGTCCACACAAAATAATGACTACCGATCAAGACACTAAGTGTGGTCATACCTTTGTTCAAAATTCTGTGTCACGTCTGTGTCGTGTGCAAAACAGCTTCGCAGGTCGTCTACCTTTACAGAGTGGAATGGCTCATGACTTTTTTCCATCATGTTGCCCGGTAGAGTACCTCATAGTAAGGTCGTCTCGCCTTACTGTAGACTGACCCCCCCCCCCCCAACACTAGATTGGCTGCAAGATAGAATGTCTCAAAAGAAAACTCGTGTTTTTATACGAAAAAGCTTTATGAAATTAGTCCCTCAAATGTTTCTACAAACCTGCGTTTGTCGAATGCCAGCTCGCCTTCTGCCACTTGCACCGAACAAGTGTCTGCGACTTCGGTGAACCTTGTTCTTGCCGAAAGTATGGTGCCTATAATGTGTCTTCGACTGGTGGCTAGCCCTATTCCTAGTCCCATTCCGTCCATGCATTCAAGGTGATCCCAAAGTGGAAACCGACGACGTCACAAGAGCCTCATGCCGTTGGATATCACGACCCCGACGGCAGGCGGTAGAAGCCCCGGCAAAAAGCACGACCAAACTCACCGGGACGGGTGGGCTGCGCCGGCAAGATGACGGTTTGGTCCAGCTCGGCGCCGGGTTGGACCGCCACGACGGGCTGCGTCGACACCAGGGGCTGCGCCCCGACGCCGTACTGCTCCACCTTGTGGAAATAGATGATGTTGGCCGGCTGCGCTCCGTCGGCGCCGGCGGGGGGCGCCCACTGCGGCTGCTGGACCAGCACCGTTCCGAGGCCGCCGGGACCGACGGGGACCAGCTGGGGCTGGACCCCCTGGAGAGCTGCAGCATCCAGACCTGGAAGCGGCAGACGGATAGATGGCACTCTGAACAACCGCAGCTCCGAACGTTACTCTTAAAAGCCTCTTAGGGACCTCATACATAAACGAGCGTTAACTCAGTATTAATCAAGCTCTAACTCAGCATTGAGGCAGCACTGATTTCGCAGTATATCAGTGTAAAACCTTAAAAAAAAAAAAAAGTAAATAAATTAAAAAAAAAATGCTTGGAGAGGACACACGTTTGCTTCTATTCCGCATTTCTAGATAGAATCGCATAGAATGCGAATAGAATCGCATTTCTTTGGAATCGCTCTTCGCTCGAAAGGAGCCTCACCACGTAAATGTTGGGCTAAATATAGGGTGATGTAAGCTGAGCTTCCACTGTAAAATGAACCAGAAAAATCGAAAAACAGGTGCGAGCACATAGAAAGCTCAAACGTTTACCGGATGAGCAGGTCAGTTTTACCATACAAAATTTCAAGGCACAGTTCTCTTCCTGTAAAAAAAACGAGAGCAGCAAACTCGCCCAAGTCGACGTTGGGTGCATTTGCAGACAGTCGAGTTAATGACTCCATTCCTTTGTGGCACCACCTCCCAACGGGCAAGGCGAGCAGACGATGCACTCTGTCATCTGCTTGCTGCGCACATCCACGTCGCTAAATTTTGTCGGCTAACGTACCCAATGTTGACTTAGGCAAGCTTGTTGCTGTCCTTTTTTTATAGGAAAAAAAACTATACCGTTTTCATAATTTTTCAGCTCGTTGTGCGGCGAAAAATTCGCTTGCATCACTCTATAATCTTTTTATTGAAGGAAAGATTTTTTGTAAGATGCATGTCTTAACCAGATGATTAAAAGAAATGCTTTATTTGGGGAGTCGAGTGTCTCTTTAGAATACACAATTAAGTTTGTTACTTGAGCGGAAAAACAATTTTACAAATACAGTTGATTTCCACAAATGTTTGCCGGCATAGGTACAGTAAGCACGACTGGTGAGCAACTGTCCCATTTCCAAAGCCAAAAAAGTTGTTGGCAAATTTGTTTTAATACCACACCCTGGTCATGGTAGAGTGAGACGCAGTAAAGGCGTCTCACTCTGCCATGACCAGGTTCTGACATAGACGCAGTCTATGTTAGGACGCAATATGAATTTCAGCACCTGAATTTCAGCACCTGAACCATAGTCATAAGTTGCTCTAAAAGGTGCAACAAAGTGTGCTGCTATTATAATTTAATTGTACTAACTTAAGAAGTATGCAGTCACTGAACTGCAGCAAATAATACTAACTTTGCCACTCTTAATAGTTGGATCAGAGCTCCGCTAGCTGTCCATCGTACGAACCCAGAAGAAAATACTTTCAGCCTTTCCACTCTGGTGAAGAAGGAAGAGCAGCAGAGCTGTAGCTTCTGTTCACAGCGGTGGCTTTCCAAGCGAGCGATCTGCTCTTCTTTCGCAAGGGAACCCGAAGTGCTCGACACAGTGGAGGTTTAGGCGATAGCGGCCTCGCGGCAGTTGCAGAACCATTCGCGCTGCTGCGCACATTGCCGCACGTTCCGTTCCCGCTCTTCTTCCTCCGAAGAAATGTTGCCGCCACCTATGAGCGCCGGCTGCAACCAGACAACCGGCAAAAAAACACTCTGGACAGCTACCGCCATCTATGAGCGACAGCGGCAACCAGAGTGTTGTGTCAACCACGAGTGTCGACATCTGTTTGGTGTAACACCCAACTGCTCAATACGGGACATTCCCTTGAACTCGCGTGTCAGGTAAGTACCACAGACGCCAGACTTGTCAACCCCAAAGTTGTCCTGGAACGCATCAATGGTATGATTTGCGTCGAGGACGTTGCACTGGATGAGATGCCAATGATCCAAACATTCATTACGCACACTCGAACAAAGCATGTAGATGACAAAGTTGTAGCGAAGCCAGTCAAAACATGGCGGACAAACGATTGCATCTGCTTGTCCCTACACCTTTTCTGTTCATGACCAAGTTAAAAAAGAAAACATGTTTACGTTTAGGCAGCGAAAATTAGTCTGCCTTTAAGAGTAGCGACACAGGATTACACCGTGAATAAAAAATTCAGTGAGTGCAACACAACTGCAAGCCTGGAGTCTCCATGGCGCAGTAGTGAAGGATGACCGCACGCCAGTTCATTGCTCATCCAGATTGGAATGGGAGGGGGTGGGTATTGAACTTAGGATTTCCAGGTGCTGCAGCGTGAGCTTTCACTCCACATGCTCCGAGTTAAAGCAGTCGATGACCACTAAGCGATGCTTTTCAGCTTTGTGGCAGGCACGTTCTGAGACCTAAACAATAAGTTTAAGCCTTAAAACGGCGAAAATAAGACCAAACTCTACTGTCGAGCGCTTCTACTGCTACCGTCGACAACGGCTTCTGGGATCAAGTGCCAGTTGCCGAAGGCTGCTGTAGCGACTGGCTTTAACCTTTGATTAAACAGGCGGCAGATGATCGACCACTTTTGACCAATAAGCAAGTCGTCCTCCTTTCAGTGTTCCGGTTTTTTGGGGGCTTAGGGCAGTTTTCGGGGCACTGTGGCAACTGTGAGCGTCCGTTGGTTACCCGGAGAACGGTCGGCACGCTGGTCACTGCCATGGTCCAGCGCTTCAGCCCAAGCAAGATGCTGGACCAATGGGTACGGCGTCACATGAGAAACATGTATTCCTGCCTTCTCTCTTCTTTGTCTGTGCAGGGAACAACATTTCGCTTGTTTCTTATTTTATGATCCCGTGCTGTACCGTTTGCTTATTATGTCAAAACTTTCACCCCTATTGTTGTTTGTCCTTTAATGTATGTATGTATATATATATATATATATAAAAATAGGCACATTTGCAGTGGGTTGCAATCGTGTTAAAATGTGGAGAGTCAAGTGTGTTTAAGGCTGTCTTCCCATAACAGTTGTCAAATATGTTTCAGTGTTGTATCGGCATTTGCAATAAGTGTGCCGAATCGAGTTTTCGTAATTTAACGAATACTTATACATCTAATAGGTTATGTCATGGAAGCGACAATTAAAGTTTGGGAAAGCACTACGGAAAATGTTTTGAAAACATATTACTGGCAAGTAAAACTTACGAGCGATGTACTGTACCACATAGTTTTTGTCTTAGTCATCAGTTGGAAGAGGCACCCCTGATTTTGTACACCAAAATAATGAGAAAAGGCAGCTCACCAGGTTCACCTTCAGACTTTTCAGTTAGACCCATACTCGAGCCAGGTCCGCAGTTGCAAAGATTGCAGCAGGCCACCGAAACCGAATGAGCAGGAGGATATTGTCGCCCCGCTAGATTAGCTGACCCAAGAGGTGGACCGACGGTAGGACAGGGCAGATTTTGTTCAACGAAAGCTTCGTGCGGGCTAAAACGAGCCAATCACTGCTTACCTGGCTGATCGTGACGACGAGACATCACAAGGGCGCTGCGTTAGCGAATGAATGCTACCTTGAAGGTGCCATCGTAAAGGGTAGCCTTCGTCGAGTTACAAAGTGCAGCAAAGAGCTGGCACGCAGCACAACCTTGCAACGCGACACGAGGTTGGCAGAAAATGGACCGAGAGTTCAGTGTGGAGTAGAGCACGGTGCCGGCACTAAGCCCAACCGCGTGAACTACTGCGCACATTGAACGCTATGACGACGATACGCGACCGCTGGGTTCTCTTACTGTTACACGCAAACCACTGCAAACATGTGCCCACACAGTCACAACTTCGTGTTGCAAACCATGTTGTTGCTATCGGTTGGCTGACAACTTTTCTCTCTTTGCTTTCAAAATTAGTGGCTCCAAGATTTATTGCAATCACTGTCTCGTTTACTGCCACATAGAGAGGCAACTAAGACACAATGCCTTGGTCCATAAGCCATATGATGGTCCTATGATGACGATGCATTTCACAAGTGTTGTCATTCAATGATTTCAGCAAGATTAATCTGTCCCGGGCATCTACTGGTTGCACTTATACTTATTCCCTTGGGAATGAATACAAGTGTTAAAAACAGTGAACATTCCCAAGGACACCTAAACATTTAGATTCTCTATCATGAATGTTCAAAGTTGGGGACGCCTGCACACGTTACAAAGAATATGGAACAACACGAAGAATCCAAGGACAATTAGAAGAACTGAGTGGTGCTTGCATCCTTCTACTGGTCTGCCTTCTTCACTGTCTTATTATTCATGGGCTTCTTTCTAAAGCAGCGATTCTTAAAAGGGGTTCCGTGGACCCGCCGGGGTTCGTGAAGCCCTCGCCTCAACTCACCATCCTTCTCCTGAAAAAGAAAAAAAAAAAAGTTGCTTTTTTGTTAAGGGGGGACACTACCCAAAAAAGTAAATTTTTGAACAACTCGTCTGATTTGAATGACATTTACAAAACTTGTTTCTGTTGATGTTGAGAACATTTCTGCCAAATTTTGTTAACCTGGGTGAAGTACAATAAGAATTGCAAATGTTTAAAGATGAAAGTGGGCGTGTCTGCATAGGAAAACTATTGTTTTGAAAATACTTAAATTTGTCGTTTTGACGTGTTATATTGCTTTAGGACAGTCCAGAACGGATAGCTATGGAGCTATATTTCTATATTATTACATCTTTCATGACAAAAAAGCCACATAAACTCAAATACTGTTTTTTAGATTTCCATTCTTTGTCCAAAATTTTCATTCTTGAGCATGAAAAATGACAAAAATAAAAAATACAAGGTCATAGCTATCTTCCCGTTTAAATTTCACGCTAGAAGAACTCATAAAAATTAATCCAAGTTACATAATAACAAAACAATAGTTTTCCTAAAGTGATATGTATGCCAAAAAGTGGAACGGAGAAAAATTTGTTCAAAGTGTTCCAACCCCTGCCTTTTCTTTAGCATCGGAGGACCGAAAATAATTTATAAAAAATTAACTATGCAGTGTAAACTAATGAAACTTTCTGGGAATACTCTAGGTGTTGGTGGATGTAAATATGACATTTTCTAAAATCAACTTTTTTTGCCGAAATTG